AAATGCCACTCGCATTTGAAGCACTGTGAATCACGGTGAATCAGTAATAGGCCTAATGACAACCCTTCAGCTTCAGGCAAAAATCAAGGTTGGATTTCAAATTTTTCAAGTATGAAATTGAAATTTCCAAAATCTAAATTTGAAAATTCAATTTTCGAAAATTCAAGAATTCGAATTTCCAAATTCAATCCAAACTCAGCACCTACTCGCAATGCTTTTGGAGACTGACTCTCAGTGGAAGTTTATTAATGACATTTTTCGTCATACTGCTATCAATCCTTCATTTGCAGTCAACTTGTATGTAAGAACGGATCTTATCCTCAACATCACAATGGGTAGGGGAACGAAAGCCGCCAGTCTGAGCCGCCTCCGCGGGCTGCTGGTCCTGGAACGACATGCAACAACACTGCAAAAGGACCACTCAGACACTCGCTGCGGCGCGCGCCTTATGGGTTGTTTCATAGTGCAGCACTGACAGCAGCAGACTGCAGCAGACTGCAGCTGACCGCACTGACCGCACTGACCGCAACGGCCGCACAATCGCTGCATCCTTTCGTAAAAGAGAAAATAGTTGCGAATAGATCGAAACACCGTGTTTTACGCCTAGAAAGTTCATAGGTTCTAACATACTCTTCTCAATCAAATTTTGGCGATTGTTTTTCTTTAATATGCTCATATTCGTTCAGATTCCTTTTGTCGTTGCATAATACCTATTTTACTCCCGCTTGTGTTGTCTATTAGGGCATATATTGTTAAGAGACTGTTTAAGCTATCGTCTGCGCCCCAGAGAGGTTCCCATAGGTACCACGTCATCTCGCTGCCTTTCGCACTTTTGAACATGTTAACCTCGGGCACTTCCATTGAAATCTCAGGAGAAACGTGTCAAAAAGCGCGAAAGGCAGCGTCGCACCACGTACGCACGCTGGTTCACATGGGAACCTCTCTGGGGTGCAGACGGTACAACTATTTATTCTCTCCACCTTCACAGAAGGACATAGCGATCTGTGCGGCCCCGCTGTCATTGTGGTCAGCTGCAGTCTGCTGCAGTCTGCTGCAGTCTGCTGCAGTTTGCTGCAGTCTGCTGCGGTCAGTGCGGCAGTCTGAAACAACCCTATGCGTGCGGCCGCTCATGTCCCCCGCCGCCGGCCGTCGAATGGCGCGTGCCGCGAGTAAATGGTACGCGCGCCGTGAGTAGGTGGACGCGCGCTACTTGATAATGGCACGCCGCTCGCGCGGTATGAAAATTGCCATTCGCATTTGAAGCACTGCGAATCACGGTGAATCTGTAGCAGACCTGATGACAACCTTACAATTTCAGGAACAATCAAAGTTGGATTCTGAGTTCCTCAAATATGGACTTGAAGTTTCCAAACCTTAAATGGAAATTCAAATTTCGAAAATTCAAGAATTCAAACTTTCAAAACTGAACTCAAACTCGGCACCTACTCGCAATGCTTATGGAGACTGACTCTGAGTGAAAGAAGTAGAAGACCACTTGTGTTAATGAGACAACTCCATTGCCAAACAGTGATAACCTCATTGTCGTAGCCGACGCTACACCGTAATCGTTGTTCGATGATCTTGTACTGATGTTTTGTACGATTCCGCGAACCCCGTTCGCAAAACAATGTTTTTGTCTTGTTTGCGATTGCGCAAAACAGTGTTTTTGTCTTGCTTGCGATTGCATTCAACAAAGGAAGCTGCCAGCTGGCAGCAGGGCCCGGCACCGATGGTTTGGGGTCAAACTGGACTTCGTTTTTGGAGTTGGAAGCAACGGGGACATCGTTTTTATGGTCCTGGAGGAAGCGCCAAAAAACCACGACGAACATGTCAGGTTTCACGAGTCGAACGTGTTCTTTCGCAAGCGCGCGAATTTCAAAAGCAAGACTCAAACAAACAAATGGCTTGTTTACAGCGCACAAACAATCACATGGCTCCGAATTTGGGCTATGTGTATACAATATTACTCTAAACTATGTTATGTAAAAAGTTCCCAAAACTTATGTGTCCGAATATCCGTTCCCGAATTTGTTGGTTTCTAGACCAACTACCAAACCAACTGGGTTGGTTCGGAGCATAAATATCGGAGAGTTCACATAAGTTTTGGACCTTTTCGATTTGGACGATTAGAACGGTCAAAAATCTATCATACGGTGAAGAGAGCGGATCAAACCGTTGCCTCTCCACTTTTTTTGAGTCAAAAGTAGTATAATTCTACCCGTTGATAGATATCGCGCTCCAAACACTTGCGGTGTCCTTTGAAATATGTGGCGAAAAATACATCGCAGGATTGTTGAGGCTACAGATTTGGTTGGCCTAGGAGATTTTCGACATTCCCAGCATCAAAATGGTACTATACCCAATGGCAGAGTCTTTAATCGACTCGACTCTTTTTGCTTTTTTGTTATATTACATACCTCAAAATGCGCTTTTTTCGCTTTTTTGTTGCTATTTTGGTTAAATTAGGGTTTCCCTACTGATTTTCATGTCGAGAGGGACTTCGTAAATTTTCGCGAAGTCATGGGGGACTTCGTTTCCTAAAAACCTCCAACCAACGCATGCCGGGCCCTGGCTGGCAGCCTTCCGAAACTTACAGTTTTGGCTCCTCCCTTTTGGAGAGTCAGTTGTGATTGAGTTGTAGGCCAGAGAACCCGGCATTTTCGTGGTGTTGTTGAAGTGTTTATGCAGTTTTGCCGGAGAACCCGGCTCAGAAATAAAGAATTAATCCAACCGTGTTTGACAGAGGCACGGTAATCAAAAATCCACTGAACCACAGCACACTCATTGAATTCGCGATAAAATTCGACATCCAAAACACTGCGTCGTACTTCACGCATGTATCGCTTGTGCTTACAGCGTGTAGGAATGTGGAAGCATGGCACGCCGCTCACTGATAAATTGCGCGACGCTCGCAGTCTCACCTAGGGCGCGCCGCTCGCATGGCAGCTTCAACTAGGGCGCGCCAGTCGCACGGCGGCCTCAGTTGGGGCGCGCCGCTCGCACCGTGGCGCTATTGTGGTATTGTGCGCGCGCGGCCGCAGCGAGTGTCTTGGGGGGGGGGGGGGGGGGGAGGGGACGGACAGGCGGCTCGTGGGCGTGATTGCGAAACCCTAGCGACGCGGACTCCCGCCATGCCACTTTTGGCCTGACTGGGTTTGGCAGACTGTATAGCAGTGGCGTACCGAGGGGGGGGGGCGGGGGGGGGCGCGCGCCCCCCCCCCGAGAACGGGTCGTGAAATTTTTGAAAGTCACCTACATGGGTTATAAAATTGTGCAAATGACTTGTTTGCACTTGTAAATAATTAAAATAATTTTTAAAATTTTTTAAAAATTCATTTTAGCCTTATAAAAAAAATTTTTTCGGGGGCGTGGCTGACGCCACGCCCCCTTTTTCCAGATTCTAGGGGTCAGGGACTGCCAAAATTTTTTAGAAACACCCCAAAAATTTTTTCGGAGTGCGTGGCTAACGCCACGCACTTTCATTAGAAAAATTTTTTTGTCGCGCCCCCCCCGAGCCGAAATCCTGGGTACGCCACTGCTGTATAGGTATGCGTACATGACGCAGGCGAGGCGGCCGCAACCGCCAACCGCCGCTAGAGACTGTGACGGGGTATATGTCAAGAATAACGATAGGTGGCAATAGTGGCACCCTGAGTGCCCGGTGTCAATAAACGGTGCACTGGTAGCACCGCCACAGCAGCGGACGATCTTACGCAGGTCTTACATTTTGGAGCAGTAAATGCCCAAAACTTTGTTTCTCTTCAAAAATGCTTTATGTTAAGGCTTCTGCTATTTTTTAATGGAAATAATCAGCAATCACATCACCATAAACATGCGATAGAAATGTTTTGGGCTCAATTTAGCATGTGAAATAGGGAAGCTTCTTTGCCGTTGTAGAAAGCGAACTTCAATGAAGAGAACTGAAGTCTGAATAATTTCTCTCAACTTCATAAATGAGTGAGGGCGGGCTGTTCTGCGCGCGCGAGCAGCTGGCAGCTAGCGGCTGGCAGAGCTATCGTTATTCTTGACCGCCACCCACTGTGACGGTGTCACTGAGACATTCTGTACTTTCCTTATTATTGTGGCACAGTGCAAAGCAGACCATTCAGATGACGAAAAGGGCCTGCTGACTGGCTATAGTAAGAAAAAAGACCACTCCATTCATCCACACCTAGGTTGCATAGAATGAGAACTTTGTTTTCACTGATTTCGAAGGTGGACAAATTAGTTGTGGCGAAATTTCAAATTCGATGTAAAGTGCATGCCTCAGAATTGTTCCCAGATAAGGCCACGGGCAGACTTCACGCGACTTAATCGTCGCGATCTAATCGCCAAGATTTCCATTCATTTTCATTTCACATTCAAAAATTTCGGGCTGGAAAAGTATCACAACCGAAATGCAAGTTGATCGGCATGGAATGATGTTGTGACAGTTGTCTCGTCGCGATTCAGTCGCGACGATCAAATCGCGTGAAGTCTGTCCGGGGCCTAAATCATCAAAGTGGCTTCTCTCGATCATATCAACATGTCAATTTTGAAAGCGCCGTAAATTTGCTGGAGTTAGTGCTAAAACGATCGAAAGGTAGCCACGCTGATGGTTTATATTGGGACAATTCTGAGGGATGCACGATAGCTATCGCCCCAAGATGAGCTCAAAGCGCACACACGCTAATTCATAGCAGCAACACATGTAAAATGAGGTAATACAAGTCAAACCTGTTCTCGTCTCAACTGTAGGAAAGCGCACTCTAGATCCGATTTTTTGCGCCAGTTGTGACAAAGGCTGGCCGTAGAGCACGCAAACTAAAGACCGGACTGTTTATGAATAATTATCAAGTTCAGCTTCCTTCACATCTTTTCTGCAACTTGCATACGATTCGGAGAGCTAATGCTTTGTTTCCTGTTTTCCATGTGTGTACTTGAGCAATTATAAATAGTCATTTGTCGGTTGAATTCTTTGCATTTTATATTCTGGCAACAGCTTTAAACTTTTTTTATTCCAGATGAAAAAATGAATGGTGAACAGTTGCAAGATTTTCTCACCGATTTATCAAAGACTACCATTCGTCTTGGTAACAGAGACGATGTCGAGGTTACGAAGAAATTCTTGGCCAAATGGGCGCAAAACACTATGCTTTGCGCCAATTATATTACTGTCAACTATAGGTTTGTTAACGATTATCTTCTTGTGTTTTCTTAAAGGAGTTATTACCTTGATTAAGGGATGTAGATTTGGTCCAACCTATCATAGCACAAATTTTAGCCTTGTATTATAAAGGAGGTAAAGTTCTTACAAATTGTTTTCACTTTTCAACGTATCATAGCATTTTTTAGGAGTGCTTCGGCAGTATGCATTGCAGTTCATTCCTTCTTTCGTTGGAATATACTTGTATGCGCTATCGAAGAAACAGCAGAAAAGTGTTGCTGTCTTCGAAATCTTCTTTTTGGCTGTGTACAATGAAGAAATTCTGGCAGGCCCACCCGGCTCTGACAAAATGGCTAAGAAGGCAAGTGCTTCAGGTTTTGAGCTTATCTTTCTTCTTTGAAGTTATACTTTTGGGATTCGCTGTGCTAACGTTTTTCTACGCTTTTCAAGATGTAGAGGCTTTACAATTTCTAGCTTCTATGTTGGAGCCTCAATGTTCTTTTCAGGTAGAAGAAGTGCGTATTCCCTCGATTCGATATCCGAGCATATATCATGATCCCTCGAAAATCACAGCGCTACCGGAAGTCACATTGCTGAAGCCTGGCGGTTCTCCATCAGTCCTCGTGAGTTCTTTGCTCCTCTAATGTCAGCTCTGAGTCCACTTAGAGAGAGCAGTGCTTAACCTTATATCGAGCTATGTTCCAAATGGTCAAAAATATTATCATTTGCTTCAAAAGTGGCCATTGTTTATTGCTGTTATTCTTGTAACGTTACTGCAAATATTAGGAATGAGTGTTGTTTCTCGGCTGCGACGCTGGTCGGTGGCTATATTCGCTTGTTTTCTTTCACCGTGCATGAGAGAATATAAATTAATGGCGGGTTGCCATCACCTGGTTATTCATCATTCAACACCGGTACAGCTGGAATATTGTAACAGCGGTGACACTGATAAAGCCAATCCTGACAACAAGTCAAAATTTTTTATAAAAGTAGAAGGGATAGAAAACATTGGGGTCTTTGAGCATGTGGTTTATAGCTTAAAGTCCAGTAGATAATAAAAATTTCCGCTCAATTCGCGCTCACTTTTCTCCTTTTTCAATTATCTTCGTTGGTGTATCTTGCTTTTGGCTTAAGATCCTATCTGAGCTCTTGCGCTAGGCCCTTCACGTATTTTTGTTGTGTTTTTTGCGAAATCATCCGTTTTTAGCAATCGTTGTTATGATTCAGACTACTATACGTGTGGGTCCCTACCCGACTGTCGAAGAATTCAACTCCGAATCCAAGTTTTTTATTCTTACTAGGCTTCTGAAATCGGTGAGCTGCTAAGTTTCGCTTTCGCATTTCATTCTTTAGAATTTTGTTTCGACTTTGGCTTCGTCTTATATTTAAAGACTGAGAAAAGAAGTCTTCTCGATTTTTCAGGTCAACGCAAGTTTGGTTTATCTATCATCGGAAGTGGTTTCGCGACATATATGTCTCGCAGCTCTTTCCATATGCGAAAGCGGTTTCTCGTTTCCTGAGACAGATTTTGTCAGTAAGGTTATGGATGCGGAACATTCAAGCGAAGTTTTGGAAGACTACTCGAAGTGAGTTTTGCCCTTTCAGTGTGTGTCTATTGATGGATTTTACTTTTCTTTCTTCATTCATTTTTACTTTATATGTTTCATTGTACTATTCACCTTGCTTAGAAAGCCACGCCAGCTTGTCAATTCATCTTTGCTCTTGGAGTTGCTTACCGGAGTGTACATGGCGCTCTACAATGGTGCACCAGATCTTGCGCTGTATGCAATAGACGCCATGTATCAACGAGCTCAATATGAAATGCTTGCAGAAGTTATCCTTGTAAGTTATTGAAAATCGAAAATCGCGGGTAAGGTCTACAAATAAGATTTTTCAGGTCACTAGCGCCATACGAAATTCATTGTTGGAAAACCCGTTATCAAAAGAAAAACGCGATGAACTCATGTGGGGAAGGAACCTTAGCTTGGTAAGTTTTATTGAAATTCTTTTTTATCACCACCAAACCAGTTTTCGCCTACACATCTGTTTGCTTTGTTTTTCCCTTTTTCAATTGTTTTCCGCTTCTTTTGCAGGAGAAGCGTCGCAAAGGATTGGTGACTACTGCTAGTTTACGAATGCGAAAAATGCCTGAGGACATTCCAGTTCAACCTGAATTGAAAGAAAAGGAGCATTCTAAACTGGAAGAAGGTAGCTTTTCTATCTTCTTGTCTTTTTCGTTTTTTTGCACTCTGGTCTCGTGTTTTCGATTCTTCTACCTTGAATTTGTGTTTGTGTTCTTAGGAATGGACAACCTGAAAAAGAAGGTATCCGCTTTGGGCTTACACCATAAGATGCAGCGGTTTCGCAAGGCGTCCATAGATGGAGATGAAGTGAGTATTCTATATTTGCATTTGTGCCAGGTGTTCTTTAGCCTGGGGTTGATATTTTATGTGGGATGAGCTCACGCTGTGGTTCCCGTTGTGCTTATTTTTTACATGTGATATGAGTTGTACCACTGCAGCTCTGTTTCTGCTAGATTAACAGTTATGATGCTTACAGGTAGAGTTACAAACTATACGCGAGGAAAAAGCTGGTGAAGTTCGAGATTATCACCATCGAGACGTCGAATCGGTAACTCGTCGGCGAAGTTCTTCCGAAGAAATGCCGAGGCCGAGAAAAGCTGGTTCGGACGAAATCATACTCAAGAAACAACTGGATCTGAATGAAGAGCCAAGGAGAGGTTTCAAGCAACATAATAGATTCGATAACCCAGGGCGAAGGCTGAGTTCCCCACTGATAGAGCGGCCCAACGAACTTCGGGGAGAGAATAGGGTTTCTTCTTCGGAAGATTCAGGTGCCTATACTGTAGGTGGACTTCGACATATGGATAGTGGAAGTAGTACTCAGAGAAGCTTCGATTTTTGAGTGGACTGCTGCAGTTCCTATAGAAGAAGCGTAGGAAAGTAAAGAAAGTCTTCCATGCCTGGGATGAATCTATGCGATCTTCCTTACCACTATTTATGCGAAAAGTCATCTTGAGGTGCAGATTAAGCATAATGTATGTTTCTTTCTTTTTCACTTGCGCTCAGATATTTATCACATTTGTATATAGATTCTCGATACCGGCAGCTACACGATTAGATATGTAACTTATTTTGCATGCATCCTTTGAGCCACTGTTGTTATTGTATGCGGTCACTTCGAGAAATTTTAGCCGTGCGAATATAGGCAAACTGCACTTCCAAGCACCTGCTCTATGCAGCCCTCAGAATTATAGTCCCCTTGCATCATTACGATTGTAAGGGTCGACCAGTCATTTTACTCCTCATAGAGTAGAAAACTAAAAATTGGAAGAGATTTCAATTGCTTCTTCAGTCTTCTGTCTCGCCAAATTTCGATTGTATCAATTCTAGAAATTTTTCTAGTTCCATAGAGATCTAGTTAATAGCTCTCCATGTGAGTTCCTTGCCCCCACTTGCACGTCATGCCGGTTCAAATCACAATAAAGGTGCATCAAGGAGTAGTGCTTTTGCTCACTTCAAAGTTTAATGACCAAGCCATTGTCGACTCGCTAACGCTGTTGCTAGTCTTCAGTCCTGCTTTGTTTTGAGGTCCTGACATAAAGCTTATCATATGGACAAGAATGGACAATAAAAGACAGTATTTAACTTGCTGTTTGTTCTAGTTGTTCCTTAACTGTGAATTTACTGATGAGATCTTTTGAGTGCTTGAAGGAGTGGCTCGGTATAATGGGCTTCTGTCAAATTCTGGTAGTTTTAAGTGGTAGACCTCTCCCCATTCCCCTCCTCTCCCCTCTCCCCTCCCAAATTCGCCACAGCTCCGCACCTCCAATTCATGCGTCAAGTCTCGATAGCTTGCTTCAGTTCCATCAGCCCCGGACACTCAGCGGAAACGGGGGCGGACTCGTGGAACGGAAACGCCTTCTTAAAGGCAGCTTCCAGGCAAATCTGAACTATGGGTCTCTCACGTGGATAGTCGTTAGGCACTCGCCATACTTGATCCACTTGATCCGCTTGATCGGCTTCGTGCAAAACGCGCGCACACAGCAGTTTGTCATTTGGCGTCACGTATGTAAAAAGGAATTTTGTATGGTTACGGCAAATTCGCTGTACGCCACGCCAGATGACAAATTAGTGACGCGCGTTTTGCACGAAGCGGATCAAGTACGGCGGGTGCCTTAGAGCATTACCTGAGTTGCCGCTTGGGCAGTGGCTTAGTTAGGACCCCAAAATTACGATCTGAGAGCCCCATCCGTCCAGATTTGTCTCGACGATGCCTTTTAAAATTAACGCCTGAATTAAAGGGTATAGGCCGTCCGCGCAAGGTGCGGAGAGTGCGCAAGGTGTGTATTGCGCGTCACTCCTTTTTCCTCGTGCATTCTCTCCACCTGTTTTTCTCTGCGCTTCTTCCAGTCGTGAATTGCTTTCAATGTACGCAACAGCGTTGCTCTCCGTGCGCAGCGCGGACGGCCTATAGAGTTAGGGTCACAATATACTCAAGGAGTGTGCTACCTAACACTATCAAAATCTGACGGGGTCCATTTTGCCTAGCCACTGCCTTTAACGCAAATAGGCGGATTTGCTAATGTGGAGGTCTCAGGTGTAGTTGGCCAGCACATACTGTGGGTACCGAGAAATTTTGACACATGAATTTTTTACTTGGAAACTGATGTTGAGCTGAATCCTTATTAAAGCAATAAGCGACAACGCATTTAATCTACTCGGCCCAGAAAAGATCCCCAAACCCAAGTCCAGATCGTACCTTCTATCTATCCATGGACGCTGGCTGGGCTCAGAAGTATCTTTGGGCTTGGTTTTCCAGACGGAGTTCTTGTCCTTGTATGTACCATAGGCATTTTCGTTGGGCACTATTGAAGGCGCCAACATTGATTTTTTCTTCTTCAAGGATCGAGGACATTGCGAGGATCCATGGACACTGCCTTTGAGCTGCTTTGTGTTACTCGGGAGGTACTCTATTTCCATACAAAATACTCTCTGCCTCTCGTTCGCTACTCTCCGTAAAGATGATATTGTCCTTAACATGTTCTCAGAGGTTCTGTAATTAGTCGCACTGCTGTTAAAATAAATTGATCAAAACAAAAGATTAGAGTAGCGGCGGAACTCCCAGGCCCTTGAGGATGAAATATGACGTAGTTGCGTTTCACATGCTTAAAGATTCTACGCCAACAGGAGAATCGCATTACTAGGCCAACGGAAGTTCAATTGTGCTTAAAAGTTCTTGTTTGTCTCACTATGCAAGCATTAACTTGCGTTTATGTATTATCTGCACTGTAAATATGCTTGACATAAAGAAATGCAGGCGGTGGATGTTATTGAACGCTTCAGCCAGTGCGCATGTACACGACCTATCAGTTCCATTATGAGACATCTGCTTATTCAATTTCGTTTTAAATTGCTCTATTACAGGATGTATTTATCTCATATATCAGTCTCTGAAATCAACTATAAATTAACAGAAAGCCAAAAATGCGTATGCAATGTTTTCTTTGCTATGATATATTTGAGAAGTGTTTATTATCAAAACTTCTGCTTGACGAAAACATCCCGCAATAAAAAATCTTCTTTACTGCCCATGCCTTTCTGCACAACTCTTCGTGAAAGTCGCTTAGTCTTATTAGAGCTCTCGTATTTGAATTTGGAATTGCTGGTAACCGGAAGAAAATCTCAGAGAGTAGGTAATATCGCATCGTCCTCCATAATAACTCTCTAGCTCATCTGCTTTTCTAAATAAAAGATTTTAAATTGAAAATTTGGAGGTATTCCGTTTTCCCGGGCGACTACAACAAAAAGAGGATTTTCTAGCAGCAATGGAGAAGTCTGATCTCATGGAGCTTGTTGGAAACGCTTTCTTGGTTCTAACTAGCACTAGTTCAACTTTCAGTCGCTCTTAGAGAAAATTAATATAGATAACGGGGAGAGGGTACTTAGTGGCCATGGCCTCTCGATATGTGACATATGTCATGACATTCGCCTTGAAACCACTGATCTCAAAATTGTGTTCGCTATCTGTAGAACAATATTTCGGAAAAACCGTATTTTCCCTTATTTGACGTGTTTGTACAAGAGTACGAATAATTTCGATAGGTACTATAGGTTTGAATGGTCTAGTGGTCAGCGCTGTCGATTATTGTACAACGGATGACCGTTTGATCTCCGTCGGTGCAAATATTTTGGCTTCAGCGCTTTTACAAACGCTGATTCTTCTCAGAAAAGCATTCTGCAACTAACGAAGATATTTTCAAGATCAGCGTTTCAAGGCAAGCATTTTGATATCTAACAAATTCCAAAAGGTCACGGCCACCAAGTTATCCTTCCCTTGTAAGATCGAGGAACAAGCCTTTGGAACAAAAACTAAAGTAGCTGTTGGATGTCACAGCACCCCCCAAAACAGGTGAATTGCGAAGACGACATTGTTTAAACAAATCAGATATTAGCAAAATGTCAATTCGGCCAAAGTTCTGTTTTGCAAGGCTTGCGGGGCAATAATATTTCACTCATCATCGAAGAGACCTCTTCATATAGCTTCATTTTCGTACATACCCCGTTTCAATTATGTATAAGATGCTCATAATGCTTGTACTACTCAGGAGTGCTTTTGGGATCAGATCAGCGTAACTATGTACTGTTTTTTTGGGAAAGTAAACTTATGGCAGTTTTATGGTAAACACCAAATTTTTTCTGCTTCTCTTTACAGTAGCTTGTTATATTGAAAGAAGTGGACTGCCTCAGACTGGAGGTTGTATGTCAAATTCAAAGTGCAATAACTCTTGCGATCACATGATCTTATATCTAGTTATTAATGAGAGGGGAGAGCGATGAATATCAAGGTGAACTGCACTTTACTTTGAAAACATGCTATGTGTTTATAGAGCAGAACAAGATATTTAAAGCCATGGGTAGCTCCCTCAAATGAAGGCTTTTCATGTCTTTCTCCCCTTCCCCTTCAAATACCGCAAAAATTTTTATTGGATTTCTGCAGCTGAAAATTGACAATGGTACAGGAAGGAATGTTCCAGAATACGTTTCCACTGTCGAACGTGCTGTTTCCTTCCCGTTTTCATTGTCCTAGCTTTCCGAAACCTTTTTTCTAGGATCGCCAATGTTTGAACAGCAACAGTGTACGGATCTGCCAGTGCCTCTCTTATAAAAATAATATTTGAGTAGCGACTCAGTCACATGTCTTTTGCTGAGCATCTTCCTGCCCCTTACAGCAGCGCAGTGCCGTGTTCTATTATTCTAGGAGGACGACTAATTGCTTTCATCTTGCACATGTGCTCTTTGTCTGGGGCAAATGTGAAGTTTTGTGAGATTTATGAGCTCCACTCTTTGTCAGTCATTATATCCATGCCTCATAATAGCACTCATCATTTCTAATGAGGGAACACCTGATCCAATAACATTCTTAAAAATAAGTCAGAAGTGTTTGAGAAACTTTATACTAGCACATATCGCTCCCAAATGAAAAGGTAGTTTATAACAAAATCAAAATTTGCATGGGGACTTGTTGGACCTTTACATTTTGTGGGACCAAGAAAAGATAACTTTTTTATCAGCCTTTATAATACCAACACTGCCATCCTTTGAATCTATAGGGCATTTGAAAAGTCGTGACGATGACGCGACCGCGCGCGACACGCACGCACCTCCCGAAAATCGCATTTTCTTGGTTTTCATCTCTAGTCGAATGGTTCTTTGTTTACGTATGATTATATCTAGACAGTGGAAGTGACTGAGCTGAACGTTGAGGTGATGCCTTCTTGTATGACCGCTTTATGCTGCTGTGGGCGCAAGGTCCGCAGCAATAACCATCGTCACGATTTTATAAATGAACTATACGTTTCAGAACGGCCTTGCTTCGAAAATGCCGCAGAGCTGCAGATCTTTCACACATCTCCCATCGAACTCTAGTTTGGGTTTTGAATTCATCGTTTTTGTCTGGTGATTTACAAACTGCCGCTGTATACTAACGAATTTTCGCGAATACTACGGAAAATGCCTAATTTTCCTCTTTGGAAATCAGGTGAAGGAGAAACGAGTTTTCAAATCTTATCTCAGGTATACGGTAGTTTGAGATTCTTAGAGCACAAATGTGGTATGACCCTATATTA